TGTGTGCCTTGGCAGTCTATGAGGACGTTATTCTGTTGCACTTTAGTTACTTGATTACAACATGTACTGTATCTGGTTTTGAATTTGTTTTAGATTAACCACCAATATAAGCAATAATACAATTCAGAATCATTGATGCCGTCTGTATGTTGAGTTACTTTCAGACTTCAAGAAATAATAATTATCCACAATAACAACCAATTCTCAACACACACACACACACACACACACACACACACACACACACACACACACACACACACACACACACACACACACACACACACACACACACACAAATGCTCTGCACATTTAATCAAAGCTTTAGAGTGCTGAGTTTGTTTGGCTTTGTATATGTATCTCTGTTTCTTCTTGAATTAAACCAAAAAAACATGCTTATTTTATTTTAAATGTGTTTGGTTTGGCCTTTCCTTTCTCTACATACACATGAAAAGTATCTACATTTTATTTGTATAAAATAGTTATACATTGGAAAGCACTTGTATCACGTCAATCAAGGTCAAATTAAATTACTATAAACCCTATAAACCCATACCAGATTATTATGAGTTTATTGAGATTTGATATTTATTAAATCATACAAGGAAACAGACAGCTTTGCTACATAATGGCTCGCTGATAAGTCAAAGCCTGTTGAGGATCCCTTTAAGAGTTCAAAATGAACACTGCACGCAAACTACTAATCATTTATAATGCTTTAGGAAGGATTCTGTCTGAGCTTATAGATCCATGAGAGCAGTTTTAGTTTGATCTCATCACAACAGCACTGTCCCGTGTTGACACAGACCTTCTGGATTGTCTCGTAGTCCATCTTGAAGGCCCAGAGCTGGAGTCTGGCAGAGAGCTCGCTGATGGAAGACAGAGTGAGGAGGAACTGCTCAGCCGAGCCCAGCGGGACGTCAGGATTGGCCAGCTGGGCCTCCTGGATCTTCTGCTTCTCCTCCTCTGTGGGGATCATCGTCAGGATTTTCTGAGAGCAACGACATAGAAGAATATGAGAGGACAGCAGGATACGAGTGAAAAAGATCTAGGATTCCTTTCCTGTTAAACACCTGAACTAAGAACATCCGTAACATTCACCTGTTTACAACTTACAAATGATGTACCACTTGTATAAAGACTCCTATGGCACTACTTCTATTCTATTTGATTGTATTTAC